AGAGAGAGAAAATGTTGTATTTTAGAAAATAAAGCGCCTATTTCACAGGAATTTCAAAATCAAGACAGAAAAGATCAGTTTTCCAAGGTTGAAGGTAACCCATGGTGGTATTGCTCTAGAGAGTTTCTGTCTCAGTTCCCCATCAGTCTGAGGCTCTGTGTGAAATAGTTGTCATAGACAGACAGACAGTAGTAGTCAGCTTCATCCTCAGCCTGCAACCCAGAGATAGTTAGGATGGCAGAGCTGGAGGAGCTGTCCTTGGAGCCAGAGAAGCGATCAGGAGCCCCAGAGGGTCTTAGGTCATATCTGTAGATGAGCAGGCGGGATGTGTTTGCTGAACGCTGAAGATACCAGGATGCAGAATTGCTATCAATGCTGCCACTGCTGCGGGTACAGGAGATGGTGATCTTCTGCCCCAATGATCCCAACAGTGATTGGGACTGGGTGTACACAACCTCAGCCCAAGATTCTGTGAGGATGGAGTGAAACAGAGAATCAGTGAGGACAAGATAAAGCCAGTTTTTAGGGGACAGGTGTAAGCTATTATTTCTCCTGTTCACACCCCCAGAATCCCATGTCAACAGCCGCCTGTGTAGTGAGCCAGGAAAGTGAGGAGAACTGGAGCCCAGATCATGGTGGAGACACAAGGAATTTCTCCTGGAGTCACACAGCCTCGTGAATGAGAGGCTGTCACTTCTTATCTGTCCCTGTCTTCTGAGAGGATCTTCGCTATGCAAATGTATCCAATCCCAGAAGCTGTGGAAGCCCCTCCTTCAACATTAGAATGGGCTCCAGCTGAGAAAGAAGTAAGCTAGAGAGAATTTGTGTTTTCGTGCACAGGAAACACTGCTGGACAGAGATCAGCTGAGAGTCTGGCCAAACTACGCAAGTGTGTGGCTGGCAGTGCCCTCTGGTGGCTGGAGGAGACATGACCCTGGCAGGTGCCATTGCTCAAGGTTTCCATCCTCCTCCCCCCGCCCCCCCATATCTCTGACTGTTGCAATCCTGTGTCTCCCCTGACTTGAGGGAAGGAGACTGTACAACAACCTGTGCTCTCTGTATAACTAGACCTTCCTACCTATCCAGGTGCACCAAGGGCTACTACTTTTTGGAGCGTTCTGGTTCCTTTTTTGGTTACGGTGTGTGTGGCACATACCAGAAAGAACATAAACTCTGTTCTCACCAGTTGCAGTAGATGATAAGATATTCAAAGATGATGAAATTGAACCTATAATCTCCAAATAGAGGCACCAAACAAGCATCTACAGGTGAAGCAATTATCTCCAAGAGAAATCTAGAATACAGTTTATGAACTTTGCACGCACTGTATTATATAAAACAGCCTGCATCCAAATGAGTAGAAAAACTGAGATAATTTCAGATATGATGTCCACTATGTCTTATATTTTGAAAGGAATCCTTAAGTCTCTTTCCCTGAAGAGAGATTTACATCACAATGTATATACCCTGACTTGAAGATTCCCCCAGACAGATTGGATTTTCATCTACATTTGAATGTTAATCAAAATGACTGTCATCCCAAAGTTCCCTACACAACAACAAAGAGATAATTTTTTTCCATTTATTTATTTATAAAAATTTCCACTTCTTCCCCTCCTCCCAATACCCTCCCGCTCCCCCCACTCCCTCTCCTCCTCCCTCTCCAGTCCTAAGAGCAGTCAGGGTTTCCTGCCCTGTGAGAAGTCCACGTTCCTCCCCTCTCCCTCCTGGTCTAGGAAGGTGAGCATCCAAACAGACTAGTATCCCAAATAGCCAGAACATGCAGAAGAAACAAGTCCCAGTACCATTATCAATAGATTCTCAGTCAGCCACATTCAGAGAATTCGGTTTGATCACATGCTCGTTCAGTCCCAGTCCAGCTGGCCTTGGTGAGCTCTCATTAGATCAGTCCCCATGTATCAGTGGGTGAACACACCCCTCACGGTCCTGACTTCCTTGTTCATGTTCTCCCTCTTTCTGCTGTTCATTTGAACCTTGGGGGCTCAGTCCAGTGCTTCAATGTGGATCTCTGTCTCTATCTCCATCCGTCGTCGGATGAAGGTTCTCTCTGATCCTGTCTTCCTTGCTCACATTCTCCCTCCTTCTGCTTCTCATTTGGACCTAGGGAGCTAAGTTCAGTGCTCCAATGTGGGTCTCCGTCTCTATCTCCATCCATTGCCAGATGAAGGTTCTATGGTTATATGCAAAATATTCATCAGTATGGTTATGGGACTAGGCCAGTTCAGGCACCCTCTCCTCTGCTGCTCAGGGAACAATCTGGGGACCTTTCCTTGGACCTGGGAACCCCTCTAGAATCAAGTTTCTTGCAAACCCTAAAATGGCTCCCTTAGTTGAGATATATACTTCCCTGCTCCATATCCATCCTTCCTCCCTCTCCCCATCCCATTCCCCCAAGCTATCCGGAATCCTCCTCTTCTCCCTTCTCTCTACCTATCTCCCCTTACATCTACCCCCCCCACCCCCCGTGCACCCAAGGTTGCCTGGCAATCTTGTCTACTTCCAATATCCAGGAGGATAACTATATGATTTTCTTCAGGTTCACTTTCTTATTTAGCTTCTCTAGGATCACTAATTATAGGCTCAATGTCCTTTAATTATGGCTAGAATCCACTTATGAGTGAGTACATACCATATTCCTCTTTTTGGGTCTGGGTTACCTCTCTCAGTAAAGTGTTTTCTATTTCCATTCGTTTGCATGCAAAATTCAAGATGTTATTGTTTTTTACCGCTGAGTAAAACTCGAATGTGTATATGTTCCACACCTTTTTTAACCATTCTTCTATTGAGGGGCACCTAGGTTGTTTCCATGTTCTGGCTATTACAAAGAGTGCTGCTATGAACATAGTTGAACAAATGCTTTTGTAGTATGATAGGGCATCTCTTGGGTATATTCCCAAGAGTGGAATTTCTGGGTCCTGAGGGAGATTGACTCCAGTTTCCTGAGAAACCGCCACACTGATTTCCACAGTGGCTGCACAAGTTTGCATTCCCACCAACAACGGATGAGTGTTCCCCTCACTCCACATCCTCTCCAGCATAGGCTATCATTGGTGTTTTTGAGTTTAACTATTTTGACAGGTGTAAGATGGTATCTCAAAGTTGTTTTGATTTGCATTTCTCTGATCGCTAAGGAGGTTGAGCATGACCTTAAGTGTCTTTTGGGCATTCGAAGTTCTTCTACAAACAGATAATTTTAATTAACTATCTCTTCACTGCAGATTTTCCTCTGGGTGACAAGTTACAGCATTTTAATATAGCTTTGAGGGCTGACATAAAGACGACTATGAATAGAAATCTCTTCACATATATTGTCTCCTCTACCTCTCTCAGACTAAGAAACACCATGACTTTTCTCTTCAGTGATTATACCCTTATGAAATGCATTTATAAAGAGTTTAATATAGAAATGTGTATCAAAACTGCTTTGAGAGTTCATCTTATACCACATAGAATGGTCAATATCAATGAAAAAAGTAACAGCTCATGGTGGCCAGAATGTAGAATAATGGGAACGTTAATCCACTGCTGGTGGGAATTAAAAATTATATAGTCATTCTGGAAATCACCATGGCATTTCTTTAGAAGCTTGGAATAGATCTAACTCAGGATCGAGGTGTACCACCCTTGTTCAGAAAAGCCCAAAGGGCTTTTTATATTATTATACAGAAACTTGCTCAGCCGTGTTTATTGCTGAACTAAAGATAATATCTAGAAATGGGAGACAGCCTCAGTGTCTTTCAACAGATGAATGGAAGCAATCCCTGACAGTACTCAAGGGGCCAAGAACTAGAGATCAGATAGGCGATGGACCTAAGAGAAAATGAAATACTACTGTTATGCTAAAGAAACACAGCATTTATATGACATCTAATGATATTCTGTTATTTCATCGATCAGCATGTAACTCAGTTATTATAGCAGAACCTTCCTCCTGCACTAAATGAGAACAAATATAGAGACCCACAACTGAACTATTTTCAGAGAGTGAGGGAACTTGGAACACACTGTAACTGGAGGTTTCTCTCCTGTCCACCTGTTTCCAAATAACCACTCTGAAGCTTAATATTAATTACAAACTGTTTGACCAATGGCTGAGGCTTGTTACTAACTTGTTTTTGCATCCTAAATTAACCCATTTCTATTAATCTATGGATTGCCATGTGGTTGTATCATTATTACCTCACATCGTGCTTCTCTAGCAGCTGCTGACATCTCCCAGATTCAGCCTTATTTCCCATAATTTTTGCTTTGGATTTCCTGCCTGGCTTTATTCTGCCTGGCTATTGGTAAAATCAGTTTCTTTATTAACCAATGGCAATAAGATATATTTACAGTATACAGAAGTGCACCCCACATCAGTACACAGTTATAAATGGTGTATCTCCATCACAACCTTTCTCTGTGGACTCAGGGAAGCCTGCACCATAAGAGGCAGTAAGAATATAAGAGGTAGAATGGACAGAAACAAAGACTTCTAAACACAACACAACCAACATATATATGAACTCTGTGGCAGAGATAACGGCAGTATGTACAGGGCCTGCTCAGGATTAAGCCAGATGGAGTCTTAATGCTCAGAGGATAACCCATCCCTAACCCCAAAACTATCCCCAAATGATTACCACTCGTGTATGAAAAATTGATTTTTTCCTGGGTATTCTCACTGGGGATTCAAACCACACTTAAGGCCAATCATCATACCCAGCAGTAGGTGGCAAGCACAAAATAAACTCAATGGCATCTATGAATGTTCTTTTTGCCATAATGTCATGTCAGATCATAATTTTTAACTTTATGTATATACTATGGGTTCTAGTTTTGTGTTTTAATGAGACTCTGGTATATGGACATATGTGTCTAAGCCTATATGCTGTTACTTTTTATTAATTTAAAAAAATTTTTTTTACATACCAACCACAGTTTTCTCTCCCTCCTCTCCTACCATACCCTGCCCTCACCTACTTTCTACTCCCATCCACTCCTCAAAAAGAGTAAGGCCTCCCATGGGAGTCAACAAAGCATGGCATATCAAGTTGAGGTAGGACTAAGTTCCTCCTCCTGCATCAAGACTGAGCGAGGCATCCCACCATAGGTAATAGGTTCCACAAAGGCAGCTCATGCACCAGGGATAGGTCCTGGTCCTACTGCTAGAGGCCCCACAAACTTTCCAAGCTACACAACTGTCACCCACGTGCAGAGGGCCTATGTCAGTCCCATGCCGTATCCCTGTTGGTTTAGAGTCTTAAACTTCCAATGACCTCTGGTCAGTTGTCTGTGTTTCTCCATCAAGTTCTTGACCCCGAGCTCACATAATCCCTTCTCCTTCTCTTCAACTGGACTCCCAGAGCTTAGCCCAGTACTTGACTCTGGATCTCTGCATCTGCTTCCATCAGTTGCTAGTTGAAGGTTTTATGATGACAATTATAAAAGTTACCAATCTGATTACAGGAGAGAGCCAGTTCAAACTCCCTCTCACTATTGCTAAGAGACTTACCTGGGGTCATTCTTGTGTATTCCAGGGAGTTTACACAGCACTGGGTTTCTCCATAATCCCATAATGACCCCTCTATCAAGATATCTCTCTCATTGCTCTCCTTCTCCATCCTTCCCCCAACTTTACCATCCTGATCCCTCATGTACCCATCACCCAGCCCCTCCCCTCTACCCATACACCCAGTTTTCCCAGGAGATATCATCTATTTCCTATTCCCATGGCTATCTACCCATCACTCTTAGGGTCCTCCTTGCTACCTAGCTTCTCTGGGGCTATGGATTGTAGCCTGGTCATCCTTTGCTTTACATCTAATATCTACTTATAAGTGAGTACATACAGTGTTTGTCTTTCTAGATTTAGGTTACTTCACTGGGGATTTTTTCTAGTTCCATCCACTTGCCTGCAAATTTCAAGAGGTCATTGCTTTTTACTGCTGAATAATACTCTGTTGAGTATATACAAGACATTTTCTTTGGTTGAGGGGCATCTAGTTTGTTTCCAGGTTCTGACTGTTATGAATATTAATGCTATGAACATGGTTGAGCAAGTGTCCTTGTGGTATGATTGAGCATTCTTTGGTTATATGCCCAAGAGTGGTATAGTTGAGTCTTGGAGGTAGTTTGATTTTCCTGATGAATGACTATATTGATTTTCAAAGTAGTGGTACAATTTCCCCTCCCACCAGCAATGAAGGAACTTTTTCCTTGTTCTACATCCTCTTCAACATAAAATGTCATAAGTAATGCACATGAGGTTCCATTTAGCAATTGACTATCTCAGTGTCTGTGTTACTGCTGTTGTATTCAGGAAGTAATCTCCAGTGTTAATGTGTTCAAGAATACTTCCCACTTTATTTTCTATCAGGTTCAGTGGAACTTGATTTGTGTTAAGGTCTTGATCTACTTGGTCTTGAGTTTTGTGCATGGTGAGAGGTATGAATCTATTTGCATTTTTCTATATGTCAACATCCAGTTACACCAGCACCATTTGCTGAACATGTTTTATTTTTTCATTGTACAATTTCAGTCTCTTTGTAAAAATTAGGTGTTCATAGGCATGTTGATTTATGTCAGGGTCTTCAATTCAATTCTATTTATCTATGTATCTGTTTTTATGCTAATATCAAGCTGTTTTTATTACTAGAGTTCTGTAGCAGAGATTGAAGTCACGGATGGTGATACCTCTGGAAGTTCCTTGAATATACAGGATTGTTTGACCTGTTCTATCTTTTTTGTTTGTCCATATTAAATTGAGTATTGTTCTTTTGAGGTCTCTGAAGAATTGCATTAGGGTTTCAATGGGGATTCTACTGAATCTGCAGATTGTTTTTGGTAAAATTACCATTTTATCAAAATATGTTCATCCTACCTATTCATACACATGGGAGATCTTTCCATTTTCTGGTATCTTCTTCAGTTTCTTTCTTCTAAGACCTAAAGTTATTGTCATCTTGATATTTCACATGTTTGGTTAGAGTTACCACAAGATATTTTATATTATTTGTTGTAGTAAAAGGAGTGGCGGGCTGCTTTCGGCCGCCCGGCTCCCGGCTAGCTTTACCCGAAATAATTACATGGAAACTGTATTCATTTAAACACTGCCTGGCCCATTAGTTTTAACCTCTTATTGGCTAACTCTCACATCTTAATTAACCCATTTCTAATAATATGTATAACACCACGTGACTGTGGCTTACTGGGATGAGTCTAACCCACATCCGTCTTGGAGAGAAGAGCCATGGCATCTGCCTGACTCTGCTTTCTTTCTCCCTGCATTCTGTTTGGTCTACTCCATCTATCTAAGCTGCTGTCCTATCAAAAGGCCAAAGCAGCTTATTTATTTGACTAATGAAAGTAACAAATAGACAGAAGGCCCTCCTACTCCATTTCCCCTTTTTCTGTTTAAACAAAAAAGAAAGATTTTCACTTTAACATAGTAAAATTACATATAACAAAACAGTTATCAAGCAAGAATTATAGTTACAATATTTATATCTATTTTATCTTTTATCATAACTAACGAAAAGTATAACTATGACTATCCATTCTTAACTCCATCAAAGACTCTAGAAGGATATAATACCACCTAAGTAAACAAGAAATAAGCAATTTCCAAACTCTAGAAATGACAGAGACATGTCGCTGCCTGGAGGAGGAGAGCCCAGAGTTTCCATTTTCATGCCATTTGGAATTCTGTCCCTCACTCAATAATTTGAAAAATATCATGCTGATTTTATGAGAACATCTGAGCTAATCAATTAGCTACTATATTAGAGATTTGGGCACTGACAGTGGTAAGGTAGCTGATTAAAATTATCTGTTTGTTTTGTGATGTCAGGGACTTAGAGATGTCAAGTAACTTTGATTCCAGAAAAAATGTAGATGAAAAACAAAACTGTCCTGAGGAATCTTCAAGCTAGGGTAGTATGTTTGTGATCTAAATCTCTCTTCAGGGACAGGGACTTGAGGATTCCTTTTGAAATATAAGACATAGTGGTGTTCGTGTTCTGAATGAGCCTCACGTTTCCTATTCAGTTAAATGCAGGTCATATTTCTGGCACATTGTGTGCAAGCCTGTAAACTGTATTCCGCCTTTCTCCTGGAGGCAATTGCTTTATATACAGAAGCTTGTTTAGTGGATCCATTGGAGGAAGTAGTCTCCTTCAATTTCACCATCTTCAGATATCCTACCTTCTACTGCAACCAATGAGAGTAGTGTATATGTTCTTTGTGATATATACCACCTACAATAAGAAAAAAAATGACCAGAATATAGGAAAGAGTAGTAACTCTTGGTGTATCTGGATAGATACGAAGATTTGTTTGTACAGAGAGCACAGGTTGCTGTATAGCACACCCCCGCCCAGGGCTGCTGATTTTAACAGTCAGGTTTTAGGAAAGCACTGGTAGCTGCCGAGGGTCGATGTCTACTCCAGCCACCAGATGGCACTGCCAGCCACAAATTTGCTAGTGTTTCTCCAGGCTCTCAGTTGATACTTCCTGACTTAGTCCCATTTCACGTGCATGAAAAAGTATTTATTTTTAAACCTTTATTTTTTTCAGATGGAGCCTAGGCTAATGTTGACAGGAAAGGTCTCACAACCTCCTGGACCGGAGACGTTTGCATATCGATGACCTCTGATGACAGGGACAGACAGGGAAGTGACTGACTCTCACTAGGTTGTGTGACCCCAGGAGAACTGTCCGGTGTCTCTACCATGACGTGCGTTCCAGTTATCCTCATTTTCAAAATTCGCTGCACGGGTGGCTGTTTACTTGGAATCCTGGGAGTGTGAAGAGGGGAAATGATAGTCTCTCCCTGCCCTGCCAAAGCCAGCTTCTCTTTACCTCCTTCCTATACTATTCAGATTAGCATGGTCAAGAAGCCAAATCCCAGGTGCCTATGACATTTGACAACATGGGTATCGACCTGAGCAGGTAGTTCTGTTATAAAAGCCAATAGCTTATGATTTCTGACTCAGAATCTTAGGAGTATTCTTAGGTCAGTGACACATGCACTTGGTCCTGGAGAGGCTGCAGGCTAGATGGCCTTGTTTCTCTTCTTAGCAGAGAACGGAAGGTCACAGAGGCCAGAAAGACACAAGCTGAACAAAAAACAGTGGGTCAGTGAGCATGTGTGGGTCCCAGGTCTGACAGTCCCACTTCCTTGGGCCAAGTGACATTTTACCATATTTCTATGGCTACCAGGTTTTTCCGGTGCTTTCAGGAATGAATTCAGCACTGTATCTCCATCCACTTGCCCGGGAAGACAAGATGTATTTCAGAGTGTTCCCACAACCAAAGAGAACAGATGCACCAGATAGGATGTGTAGGTGCAAGGACCTGAGATCCCTCTGTTACACTCTGGCTACCACCATCTGCTTATTCACCAACCCGAACATGACCACAAGAGCGGGGGAGCCCTTCACACCTGAACAATGGCTCCATCTTTCTGTCAGACTTCTACTCTGTGTTTCAAGGAGTCAGATCGCTTCAGTCCTGCAACCCAAATAATCCCCAGATGGGAGGTATGCAGACCTGGCCTGAGATGAAGGGGAGCTAGACCTGGGCTTGGGAACGATAGATAAGGAGTTGCCTGCCCTGTACTCTGAGTACTTTCATGAGACTGTGAATGTCAGTACCTGTGGAATGAAGGCATGATGAAGAGGTGGGAAGGAGTCAGACAGAAGGACCCTCGCCTGCTTGGACAAGTCTGTTATCCAGCAGTGTGATCCCAACGGTAGAGCCAACTAAGGTCCCTGGAAGTTGAATTGGTCTGCAGACCCTAGGAGGAGATCCACAGGCAGGCTGATGCATTCAGAGCCAAGCCAGCCTGTAGTTCTTTTTTTTTTTTTCAACCTGTCGTTCTTCACCCCTCCCCCATCCCTGCAACCACTCCCCCCACCGGAAGCTCTACAGGCACCTCTAACGTCCAATTCCTGATGTAGACAGGAATATGGACGTGGGGTGTTCGCCAGTGGCTGTTCAGCTCACATGGCCTTCAGCATCTGGAAGACATGGAGCGGAGCCACATCAGATTCTGCAAGTCCACCACGATCCTGGGGAAACAAATGCGGTACTTAGTGAAACCTGGGAGCCCCAGGGCAGACCAGCTCCGTTAACTGCGCCAGCTGGGCCACCGAGATGAAATCCCATACAGAGACTTGGGAGTTTCCAGGATAGCAGATTGGGGCCAGAGGGGTCCTGAAGCAGGCTTATCTGCAAAAAGTATGAGCTCAAAACCCTGACCCTCGCCTTCTCACTTGAACACATCGGGATCGATGGTGGCGCCAACAACCCGTGCAGCCTCGCAGAGCTCCGTCTCCAACGTTCCCAGCACCTTCTTCCACCAAAGAGCCAATTTCTGCACTGTGGAATCCTTCAGGCGTGTGGATGTTCCCAGTCCAGCACCACTACCAGTTGCCACCATTTGTGCAGCCTGAAAAAAGGGAGCTTTGAGCCCAGGCCGCCAGAGATTTCACAGCACTTCCTACTGGCCACCTGTTTCCTTGAAAGGTCACCACAGCCCAGACAGGCAGCTCCAGCACCGAGGGTAAGGGTGGGAAGAAACTTTATATAGTTGATTACTGACCTGTACTTGAGTGCCTTATGTACACAGGGCAGTGTGCTAGGCATGGGGATAGTATGATCGAAACCTGTCTACTGTCTGAAGATCAGACCCCTTATAAACCACTCGTTTATAACGAGTGCCAGAACCGTGCCTGGCATATCCTGGATTCTTGGTAAATGCCTGTTGATATTCATGTTGGTAATCATGATTGCATGTAATTATTTCTTCTCTCAAGGGTCCCTAAAGAGCTTTTTTTTATGCATAGATGCATTCCTTCACCCTGGAATGCATAAATTTAGCCCTAAAGGGGTGGCTGACCCCTTTACTGTGCAATGTGCCATGCGCCCAACGGCTTCTGTCCCTATGACTGGGGTGGTGTATTGAGCATGCGCCATGTGCCCAACGGCTCCTATTCCTATGATGGGGGTGGTGTATTGAGCATGCGCCTTTCCCATGTGGTACATAGGTAGTTTTACCACTAGACTGGGAGCGTGGCTTGATGAAGGGCGGTTTGATGATGCTATTTCTGGGTTGTGTGGTTTGATAGTCGCATCTGTTTCTGAAGATAGGTAAACCCACAAATGAATAGAAATGGATTCAGCAAGTCAGCCTGTGTGATGACCATGGAAAATGCTTGACTGCAGACCATGAGACAGGTGTCACTGCTGCCTGCGCAGAATGGATCTGAAGAGTCAATTCAGGAGAGCCCAGGCAGAGGGAAGGGGACTAGAGGGGGCATTTAAGATTTGTGCTGTGGCACTCTGGGAGATGTTTTGCCTCATAATGCTTTGTTTGGTCATTTTTCTACCTTACTGGTATTTGTGTATGTATCATGGTTTCAAATTATGTATTTTAATTGGTTTTGTGTCTGCTTGTGTATCTTTCTTGTGGCTTTATCTTTTTCTTTTATTTTTCCCCCAATTTGTTTCATTGTGATTTGCTCTTTCTTTCTTTCTTTCTTTCTTTCTTTCTTTCTTTCTTTCTTTCTTTCCTCTTTCCCTCCATCCCTTCCTCTTTCTTTCTTTCTTTCTTTCTTTCTTTCTTTCTTTCTTTCTTTCTTTCTTTCTTTCTTTCTTGTTTTTGTTTTTTGATACATGTTTTCTCTATGTAACATTCTTGGTTGTTCTGAAATTCAATTTGTAGGCCCTCAGTTAACCTTCAGCCTATCCAGTCTAGTCCTGTGGACTTCCCTGGAGTCAGGGCCGTGTGTGATTAGGGCAGAATTGTATTCTGAAGGCTGAATGCAGTGATTCAGGTGAGAGTTCCAGTACCTTGAACTCATTGAGACTTACCTGCCCCTGCTTACCAAGTGCTGGGATTAAAGGCTTGCACCATTTTTTTTCAATGTGCCTCTTTGTTAGAGAGAGAGAAAGATGATGTTTGGTTAATTAGGTGGGGAAGGGGAAAGGATCAGGAAAGAGATGAGGGAGAGGAAACCAGAATCAAATTACAGGGGATGAAAAGTAACTGTTTTAATTAAAAAAGCAATAAATGAGAAGAATAGTCTCCATTCTTAGAAAACTTTGTCCATTGCCTAGAGTTTAGAACATCTATTCAGTACTCAGTCTGTCTTCCTTCTTCCCTGCACTGGGCACGGATATCCTGGATCTGCTGGTCCTCATTGCTTCACACCACCTACACTTTGTGATCCTCTGGCCAGTCACCAGGGTCCAGACCTCAGGACTAAACCCTGGGAAGGATTTGCAGTCCTGGCCCTCCAGGCTGTAGACATGGCTTTCCATGTTGAATGTGGCATCTGTCACAAATGAGGATCAGGGTGACAGGAAGCTGCTGGTGACTGTGAAGAGCCAATGTGGGCTGTGTGGAATGAGTTTGGCTCCAGGAACAGACATTACAGGATGAATGTTCATCTAGTCTGCCACCTGCTTCCCAGGGTGGAACACATGGGTGCTTGTTTGCAGGATTTCAGAACATTTTCTCAGGCTTTTTGCAGAGCTGTGCCCATGATGTGCCTGTAGGTCCTGCCTCTTCAGTTTCTCATGGGGCTGATGGCTTTCATGGGTTAATGGGTGGTTCTAGGATCCACTTCCTATTACTCACAACCCCCAAGAGTACAAACAGGAGGCAAATCCAGGTGTTGTACTGCTCTAGCCTTGCAAAACAGCTGTCATCTTTATGAGATCAGCTGTGGCTGTAATTGTATCACCTCAGCCCATAGACGGCTTTAATCCTTCCTAGGAGGAAGGCCAGGCTGGTACCTGAACTCTCACCTGAGTCACTACATTCAACCTTCTGAATACAATTCTGCCCTAATCACACACGGCCCCGACTCCAGGGAAGTCCAAAGGACTAGACTGTAAAAGGTTAATTGAGAGCTTCTGTACTAATACACACTCAGACTCAAACATTTACACACTTCCTAACACAAATTAACATACTCACACATAATCACACACATACACCCTTACACACATACTTGTAGATTGTGTTGGTTAGTGTTTAGTTAACATGACATCAGGTAGAGTTATTTAGCAAGAAGAAACTTCAATTGAGAAAATACCTCAGATTGGCTTGTAGGCAAGCTGGTGATGCGTTTTTTGATTGATGATTGATATCTGAGTGCCCAGCTGACTATGGGTGGTGCCAAACCTGGACAGTTGGTCCTGGATAGAATAATAGAGCAGGCTGAGCAAGCCATGGGAAACAGCCAGTAAGTAGCACTTCTCCATGGCCTATGAATCAGTTCCTGCCTCTGTGCTCCTGCCTGAGTCCATTCCATGACTTCTCCAGATGATGGAACATAACTTACAAGATGAATTAAACTCTTTTGTCCCCAAATTGATTTTGGTCATGGTGCTTTTTCAAATTCAGCTTTTTCTTCTTTGTAGGTTTTACGTGATGCATTTTGATCTCACTCGTCTTTCTGTCTGATCCCATCTACCCTCTACCTTTGCAACCCTTCCTAGCATAAAACAAGATAAAATTTAGAAAAAAGGGAAGTGAAAGAAAAATCTTGTTCTGGAAGCTGTAGTGTGACACAGTGAGTCACTCAGTCCCTCAGTTACTTGCAAGTGTTCATTGCAGTGAGTCATTGGTCTGGTTTGAAGTTTCAGGGTTTTTTTTTCTACATCACCAATACCAGGCCTTCAGTGAGGTTCTTCTCGGATATCCTGTGGTTGTCCTGTGTCATCTTGTAACTTTGGGTCTGCAAGATCAGCTCCTTAATGTGCTCCAGCAGATGGCATGGATGATGGAATGGGCCAGCTCATAGTTCTGGTTCTGGGTCTGGGTGGTTGCTTGGTTGATCAGCCTGCCAGCTCTGCTTCATCCTCAATACCAGGGTAAGCTCTCCAGTACTGTGCCAGTTAGCTCACCCTATGTAGTAAGCAGCAAGAGGCAGTAACAATCCTTCTGCTTTCATGGTCTTTGTTCAGTTTGCTCACACCAACACCGGGGCCAGCTCTACTGTGTTGTCTAAGCAAGGTATAGGGGCCATTCTGTCTAGTGTTGCAGTTGATGAGAGGTAGGGCCAGCTCTCTTATTCTAGTGGACCTCAGGAAGGGCCCTCTCACCTACCACTGGCCTGGAGGAGCATGGGCAGAGCTTCTCTCTCTTGTACATATCATCATATGGTATATGAGGGAAAGGTCTGGTCTCTCACACTCAGTTTCTAAGGGCAAGTTCACCCATGCCTCCATAAACAATGGGGTCAGCTCTACTGTGTTGCCCAGGCAAGCTGCAGGACTCACTTTTCCTAGTCAAAGGCGCACACTCGTACCTTTACACATTCTTCATACATCTTTATACACTATGTGCTGGTTAGTTTATTTTAGTTTATTGTTGTCATATAAACTCTACACCTATATGTTTCCAGGCTAATGCTACTTTTCATCATGCTTTCTTGTTTATAATATTCCTCCTTGCACAAATAAAACTTTGATTTGCTTTCTTATTTTTATTTTATTTAAATAACACTGTTTTCATTTATTTTACATACTGACCACAGTTTTCCTTCCCTCTTCCCTTCCCCTCTCAGCTTCCCATCTAACCTCCTCCCTTCCACTCCTCCTCAGTCTCCTTTCAGAAAGGGTCAGGCTTCCCATGGGCTTGAACAAAGCATGGCACATCAAGTTGAGTCAGGACAAAGCTCCTCCCTTATATCAAGGCTGGTCAAGGTAACATAGCATGTGGAACAGCTAAGGGCCAGAAATGGGGTCTGACCTAACTGCTAGGAACCTTATAAAGAGAAGAAGCTACACATGCAGAGGGCCTAGTTCAGTCCCATAGAGGCTTTCTAGCTGTTAGTTCAGATTCCATGAGCTCCCACGAGTTCAGGTAAGCTGTTTGTGGGTTCCCCCATAATGACACCTCTGGCTTGTATAAGCCCTCCCTTTCTTAAGCAAGACTTCTGAAGCTCAGCACAGTGATTGGCTATGGATCTCTGCACCTGCTTCCATTAGTTACTAGATATAATATCTCTGATGACAATTGGTTTACTCACGAATCTGATTACACTACATGGCCAGTTCTGGAACCCTACCCACTACTGCTAGGAATCTTACCTAGGAGTTATCCTTGTGGACTCTGTGGGATTTCCTTGGCACCAGGTTTCTCCTTAATACCAAAATGTGCCACCATCAAGACACATCTTTCCTTACTCTCCCACTAAATTCCAATGTCTTTTGCCTTATGGAAGCTTTTTAGTGTCAGGAGGTCCCATTTATTGTCAATCTCAGAATCTGTGCTGCTAGTGTCATATTCAGGAAGTAGTCTCCTTGTCAATGTGTTCAAGCTACTTCTTACTTTCTCTTCTATCAGCTTCAGTGTAACTGGATTTACTTTGAAGCCTTTTATCCACTTGGACTTTGGTTTTGCGCACTACAATAAATATGGATCTATTTGCATTCTTCTACATGCCAACATCCAGTTATGCCAGCAGCACTTGTTTAAGATGTCTTTCTTTTTTCCATTGTACAGTTTTGGCTTCTTTGTCAAAAATGAGGTGTTCATAGGTGTGTGAATTTTTGGCAAAGTCTTCAATTTGATTCTATTGATCTACGTATCTCTTTTTATGCCATTACCAAGCTGCTGTTATTACTATAGCTCTAAAGTAGAGCTTAAAGCCAGTAATGGTGATGCCTCCTGAAGTTCCTTCATTGTATAGTATTGTCTTACCTATACTGAGGGGTATTTTTATTACATATGAAGCTGAGTATTGTTTTTTGAGGTCTGTGAAAAATTGTTTTGGAATGTTGATGGAGATTGCACTGAATCTGTAGAATGCTTTTGGTAACATTGCCATTTTTATTATGTTAATCCCATCTATCTATGAACATGTTTTTGTTCTTTCAGTTTGTTTATATGATGGACTACATTGATAGTCTTCATATCTTGAACTATTCTATCAGCTCTGGGCTGAAGCCTACTTGATCATGGTGGATGATTGTTTTGTGTGTGTGTGTCCTTTGACTTGGTTTGCCAGTATTTTATTGAGTATATTTCCATAAATGTTCATGAGGGAGATTGGTCTTTAATTCTGTTTCTTTGTAGTATCTTTGTGTTTTAATTATCAGGGTAATTGTAGTTTCATAAAATGAATTTGGAAATGTTCCTTTTCTTTATTTTCTGTGGAACAATTTATGGAGTACTGGTATTAATTCTTCTTTGAAAATCTTGTAAAATTCTGTGCTGAAACCATCTGTCCCTGGTTTTATCCCCCATTGGGAGACTTTTAATGACTACTTCTATTTCCTTAAGGATTATATGTCAATTTAAATTATTTATCTGGTCTTAATTTAATTTTGTATGTGGTACTTCTCAAGAAAATAGTCTATTTCTTTTAGATTTTCAAGTTTTGTGGAGTACAGGTGTTTGAAGTATAACCTAATGCTTCTCTGGATTTCCTCAGTGTCTGTTGTTGTGTCCCCCTTTTCATTCCTGATTTTGTTAATTCGTATATTCTCTCTGTTTCTTTTTATTAGTCTGGATAAGGGTGTGTCTATCTTGTTGATTTTCTCTGAGAAACTACTCTTTGTTTCATTGATTCTTTGTATTGTTCTCTTTGTTTCTATTTTATTGATTTCAGCCCCCACTTTATTTCCTGTCATCTACTCCACCTAGGTGAGTTTGCTTCTTTTTGTTCTAGAGCTTTCAGGTGTGCTGTTATGAGCTAATATGAAATTTCTCCAAATTCTTTTTGTAGACATTTAGAGCTATGAACTTTCCTTTTAGCACTTCTTTAGTGTCTCATAAATTTGGGTATGTTCTGCATTCACTTTTATTGAATTCTAGGAAGTCTCTAATTTCTTTCCTTATTTTTTCCTTGACCCAGTGGTAATCCAGTTGAAAGCTGTTCAGTTTCCATGAAGCTGTAGGTTTTCTGTAGTTTGTGTTGCTGTTAAATTCTGACTTCAATGTGTGGTGATCCGATTAGATGCAGGGGATCGTTCCAATGTTTTTTGTATCTGTTGAGATTTATTTTGTGACTCAGTAAGTGGTCAGTTTTAGAGAATGTTCCATGTGGTGCTGAGAAAAGGCATATTTTTTTCCATATTTGAGAGAAATGTTCTGTAGATGTCTGTTAAGTCTATTTGAGTAATGGCATCTGTTAGTTGCCCTATTTCTCAGTTAAGTTTCTGTCTGACAGACCTGTCCATTGGTAAAGAGTGGGGTATTCAAGTCTCCCACTATTAATGCGTGGGGTTTAATGTGTGATTTAAGTTTCAATAATGCTTCTTTCACAAATGTAGCTGCCCTTGTATTTAAGGTATAAGTGTTCATCTTGAGGTATAAGTTCATCATCTTGATGGATTTTTCCAGTGATGAATATGAAATGTCCTTCATCTCTTTTGATTAATATTAAGCCTGAGATTCTCACTTCCCTCTCTTGTATTCTGTTGGTAGTACTTGCATCTGTAGCTCCTGTTGACTTACCCAGATTTTCCATTTCCAGAATTCCCTCAGTTTGTGTTTTCAATTTCTATTGTTTCTACTTAAATTCTCAAACCGTAAACTGTTTCCTTCACATTTGTTTCTGTTTCTTGGCTTTCTTTAAGGGATTTATTGATTTTTTCCCCCTATTTTTGGTCTTTTCCTTGATTTCTTTTAGGGAAATTTTTCATTTCCTGTTTAAGGTCCTCTCATCTTTATAAAGTTATTTTTATGGTCATTTTCTTCTGCTTCACCTGCACTGGCATGTTCAGGTCTTACTGTTTTTGGACCACTTGGTTCTGGTGTTGCCACTTTACTCTTCATGTTGTTGAATATATTTCCCTACTGGCGTTTACCTTTCTGTGTTTGGGACACTTATAGGTATAGGTGCTGATTCTTGTGTTGTCTTTATTGGATGGGTGTTTTGTCCCTTTATCATCTGTTTCCTTTTTTGTTTTTTGACCTGAATGGCCAAGGGTTTTGGTGAATGGCTGGTCATCAGTGTAATGATTTCTGCATGAAAGGGACCTTGGCAGTGTGTGGGAGCCCATGGTAGGTGAGGAACAGAAAAATATGCCAATCAGACAGACAGACAGCTAGGTGAGGGATTTATTGAGGTAGAGGAAATGGAGAAAGGGAGTAAGAAAGAGAGAAAGAGACAGACAGACAGACAGACAGACAGAGAGGCAGAGACCTGCTTGCCTCTTTAGAAAACAGCAGGAATAGAGCAGGAATGGGTGGAGTTTGTCTTTTAAAGGGACCTTTTGCACCTGCATTCAGACCACTGGAGAAACAGGAACCATGGTGGTTCTTAGGATGGAAGCAAGGTAATCATAGGGCAAGGATGGAGGTTGGTAAAACAAAAAAAATAAGGATGTTCTGAAAACTCACAAAGGATCATACTATTAACTATTTATGTAAAAAAGTATAATACATGTAAGTCAGTGTAAAAATACACATGGAGTTTTAATGATTTTTTTTCATCTCTGCAGACAGTTCTCCACCAAGAATTGAAGGCCACCTAACAAAAATTCCAATACCAGTCACGTGAAGCACTCTTTTCAGTTGTTGGCCAGAGTTGTCAAGAGACTCCTAAAACATACAACCTACTGATGTTGCCCTTTATAACACCCTAGAGAGGTAAGTTTCCATTGTAAAAGACACCAAGAACTTCAGAAGCAGTTCCCTGAGAGCAGTTTGTTACCTAGACAGACCTGAATATTTTCTTCCTGAGGTCTATCCTACATGGCACAAGAAGTTTCATGCAAGCTTCAAAGAAAGGAGACAGTCAACAGTCTTGACCCAGCTTGATACAGATGAACCCCAACAATAACCAGCATGGTGTGATAACCCTAAGGATGCAGTATTGACAAACATACCTTAGTGTTAACCAGCTGCTCTCTAATTGGACTTACACCCACATAGTAAGAGGGATACCATACCTTGTAAGGGAAACCTAACTTCTCAGTGCTGGTGAAATCATGGGTATTAGAGGAGAATCTACAGCTATTAACTTATTAAATCAGCATAATGTGTAACAAAAGCCTATAAACATGTCCTTATACTCACAGATAAGTTTACCCTTCTCCCCCCCATTAGTGAAACTTCTCTTTGCAACAGATGGACACAACTACAGAGAGAAAAAGTCAATGAAACCTCAGAGTTGTGTAGCCTAGTCACAATAAGTGCATCTACAAATACTCCCACATCTCAGGGATGAGTAAGAGCAGGTGGACAGATTGTGAGGGCCAGAAAATCAGGGAGTTTGCTATGAGATCAAGTGTCTTAATAATATCAGAAACAATTGAAGCAATTCCCATAATGTCCCATCAACATTTATGAACTAGGGAAAGTCCAAGGCCTCAAACCTAAGTAATGAACTACCCCAACCAAGGAATGTTGATAGTGGGAGAAATAGTCTATCCTATGGAAGAGTAAACTAACTGGCTGTCCAATACTAAATAGTGAACCATGAAAACATGTATATAAACAAAATTATATAAATAGGGCTGGTTGTATCTATGGAAACATGAATATGTACATAGATACATGTATGTATGTAGCAAGGAAAAAAAGAGACCATGGTTTGAAAGAGAAAAAAGAGGGTTTTGGAGGTGAGGGTTTTGGAAGAGGAAAGACAACTGGTAAATGGTATAATTAAAATCACAAAAAATATTTAAAAAAAACACAAGGTGAAAGAAAAAAGATTGGAACTCTATTAAAGTGGAAACCCTTACATGAAATTGATAAAATTCTACATATGACTGAATCACAAAAATTAAAGCAAGAAAGGATCCACAAATTAAAACAACCTTTGAAATAAGGAAATGGAAACAGCACCAAAAATAAGCAGCTACGAAATCTTTGGATCCAGGTGGATCCACAGCAACATTCAAACAGACGTTTAAAGAACTACAAACAACATTTCTTAAATTAACAGAATAGAGATGGAATGGGTACTTTCAAACTCCCTGTACGAAGGCAGATTCATTCTACTAACGAGGCTTTGTGAAGACTCAAAAAAAAAAAAAAAGGAAAAGAAAATTCTTTAGTAGGTAGCAGTAGTAGTAGGTGGTAGCAGTTTTTCTTTTAGGGAATATGACTTGTGTCCAGCCATGGGTTCTTGGCTAGGTTTATGATACAATGCATGAGTTCTCTGAAGTTGAGTTGACATTAGGTTCAATTAAGTAGGTGTTGGCTGTCCCAAAGTTGCATGTGCTTTTATAGCACTGTTAGGCATGACTTGTTCTGCCTTTTGTTTAGTTTTCAACCTTTTTATCTGAGTAGGCCAATTGATAACATTTTCCCCTTGCATAGTACCTCACAAATACCTGAGGGTTATCCTTCAGGGAGGCAGACTTCAGATCAATGACACTTTGATGGCCCTAGGGTGTGGTGTCTTCAGCAATAGGATCTCACCCTGGATGTTCTAGCAGGTAATCAAAGCAATGGCATTAACCTCTATTTCTTTTAGAGGTCCTTGGTACATACTAACAACACAAGTGAATGTTTTTCATAGATACCCCTGGGTGGTTTTATCTAATCTACAGGTAGAGGGGGTGCATTATTCCACCAGGTGGAGCAACTACTCTAACACAATGTGTTTTTAAGTTCACAGATAAAACAATAAGCTTGCTCTTGTTTCTCAAACATTCTCAGTGTTACTTATGCCCCTTTCCCTCTCCCTGTGCGTTACTCTCCCCCTTCCTTCCCTCTCACTATGTATTCTTCCCTCCCCTTCCCTCTTTCCATGTAGTACTCGCTTCCTTTTGCCTAATCAAGCCCTCTACATTTATTTTTCCTTTCATAGCACCTGTGTCCTATTTCCCTCTTTAAAGCTATGTCCCCTCCTCCCACAATGCTCCCTTTCTACTTTCCCAGCTTTTATGGTTACTCAAGGTTAAACATTCAAGTCAAAAAGATTTGGTTCTAGGATCTACAAGTAAGAGGGAAAAAGAGGGCATTTGATTTTCTGGACCTGGGTGACCTCACTAATTATAATCTTTTGCAGTTCCATCAATTTTGTTTGCAGATTTTATTTTTCTTTATAGCTGAAGAGTTGTATACTTAAACCAATCATCCATTAACCTGTTGAAGGACAGCCAGGCTGCTTTCATTTCTTAGCTATTGTGAATAGAATGATGAGATACAAGGCTGAACAAGTACACCTGTAGATGGATATCAAGTCTGCATAGCTCAGTCATATAAAATGCCTAATGTAAGCTCTTTTGATACATTTCCACACAGATTTCCCAAGGAGCACATGCATTGCAAGCCCACTGACACTGGATGAACATTCGTCTTCCCCTTCATTTTTGCCAGCACTTTTTGTCAACTATATTGTGAGTTTCGGGGTTTCTTTGTGTCTGTTATTTTGTGAAAACATGGGAATCAAATTTTTGAATGAACTTTTTCATTGTCTTTTATTTTAATAGTGTACAAGTATACAAAGTAACAAAAAATCAGAACTGATTTGTTTTTCCAGTAGAAAGAATTTATATTCAGCAAGTAACACAAACTTCCCTTTTAAATTCCATTTTTTACATCAAATAATGTATATTTCTCTCATTGTCAAGCAAGATAGAGTTGTCTTAATCTACAACTCTTATTTATTTTAGTTATGAACATTAAAGCGTCTCCCTTTATAATTGGGCTGGTTGCACAAACTTTTTCTGTGGTAGTGGAGGCAGATGCTCATCCTGGACTCTTAATTTGGTTATGTCCTAAAATACTTGGTTGCAAAATTCCTCACCCAGTAAAAATAAATACTACAATGTGAAGGGCATGAAAACCTGTAGGCGGAGACCATTCATTCGTTTCCCAGTCGCCCAGACCTGAAATAATCACACAGACACTATATTAATTAAAACACTGCTTGGCCAATAGCTTAGGCATATTTTAGCTAACTCTTACATCTTGAATTAGCCCATTTCTATTAATCTATGTATCACTATGTGGCTCATGGTTTACCATTAAGTTCTCCAATGTCTGTCTCCTTCAGCAGCAACATGTTGTCTCCCCGACTCTGCTTTCTTTCCTCCTCCATCAGTTTGGAATTTCTGCCTTACTCTATTCTGCCCTTCTGTAGGCCAAAGCATCTTCTTTGTTAACAAATTGTAATAAAAGATATTCACAGCATACAGAGGGGAATCCCACATCAAAAACCTACTGCCCCTTATATAGTATATGCACAGCAGCAGCTTGGGGTTCAAGCAGGACTACAGCTTGAATGACTGAATGGGACCTCCAAGGATCTTGGACACCACAGCACATATTCTGTCCCTAAGACACTCACCATGATTTCCAGACAGAAATCAAACAAACAAGAAACAAATCTCATCTGCAGGATTCAGGATCCTGCCTGAATCTCAACAATGGCCACCACTCTTCATGGCTGCTTTAGACAGGGATACTGGTCACTGATGCCAGACTGCCTTTTCCGCTGCAACTCTCCACCAGAGACAAAATGGCAACAGGATGCCACAACAAGACCTGTGCTTAATTGTGTGAGATGTGAAGGAACATGGTTGGCCAGTTGGAGATGGTCCTTGCTGTGGGTCTTGGACACAGAGCCCTCAACCACAATACATAAATAGGGGCAGACTCTGTATTCTGGAGGTGGCACCTCCAGCTATGGATCAGGTATCTGTTGGGTAAAAGGTCTCATACCCAGCCTAGCACTGGATCCGTTCCAGATGGCCATAGGCATCTTCTTGCTGCCGAGGCAGCTTGTGTGCACTCAATGAGGCGGCTGTCATCCTGGCTCTCTTCTCATTTCGTCTGCTCTGAGGAGCCCATGAGTCTGCTAAGCAGGTTCTCAGGGGAGCCTCTATTGGAGGATGTTTGCTTTGGCAGCTCACCAAAGAAGAACTGCCCAACCCTGTGGAGGTACACTGTGTAAACGGAGCCCCTCTGCAGGGCAGGCTGGAACTGCTCACACAGAACTATGAACACAGCCAGCTTGTCACAGTCCACAGCCAGCAGCAAAAAGCAGCACAGCCTGGGCCACACACATATCCAACACACTTCAGAAGTCTTGGGTGCTGAAGTACTTGTCCAGCATGTTGGTACAGTCTTTACCCTCAATGTCATTCAGGACAACAGTTTCCAAAGAATGAAGGCCAAGAGCTGATGAAGCCCAGTTTCCCAGTACCAAAACTGACTACTTTAGGACTCTGAACAGAAAAGCTACTTGCTCTTGAGAATTTGGATGCACCAAACTGAACAATTTAGCTATATTTTCCAAGAACACATAAACTATGTATACTTCTACCTTCTCCCAGGGTTTGAGGACCAGCATACAAGTCAACCTGCACTGTTCTGTTGGCATTGACTGAAAAAGAGCAGTGCTCCTGATTACATAAGCACCATGGCCTCTCAATTCTTGCTTCTGGAGATGTATCTGAAGAAGTGTCTGGTCCATCTGGTGCACCTCATGGTAGTCATCCTGAGGGTGCTCGCACACAGCTTGCCCTCCATGTGGTGGCGCCATCTTTCTGGATGACCAACTGCTCTGCCATCGTCAATACTATGGGCCTCTGCTCTCTGTTCAGTACTGATGCCGTGGCTGGCGATGTTGGCTGAGCCTCCTCACTTCCTTCCCTGTGACCCCCACATGCACTCTATCAGAACTGATTATGTTTTAGCAGAAGCTACTATTGATGGCTACTTTCCCATCTTCCTGTATCACTGGGAGAAACACTTTTTTCCCAGGTAACACAGTAGTACTGAGCTGTATTCTCCATCTATAGTTCAGAGACATACAAAATGAAATATTTTTTGAGGCTTCTGCAGCAGCACAGGTAAACCCTGGGAGGGCTCCCCTGCATCTGCTGGTCCCAGTAAATGTTGTCGCCAATACCGATGTCTCTCCTCAGGGTGCAGGTGAGTCTGGCTCTTGGTCCAAGAGGCACAGAGAAGGAGGGTGTTTCTGTCAATACAGCCTGAGAAAAGGAACCTCCAAAGCAGAAACCACAGTGAACAGCAGAGTTGAGGTACAGCATTTTGGGGATTTGAACCAGAAGGGACTGACTGAGTTTAGGAGTTCTCCCCAGGACTCTTGGGCCTTTCCCTACCGGTACATTGACATGGAAAAAATAAAAATGAGGAGGGTCCAAGCAATGGCAGGGTCTTCTGTCTGGACTGTCTCCTTATCTCATTATCTCAGGGCCCTCACAGAAGAAGAGGTGCTAGTCAAGCAAATGAGTTCTCATTAACTCCTCCTAGTGGTTGATTCAGTGTGGGCGCCTGAAAGAGCAAGCCAGGTGAAGTGAATTACTTTCTCCCATGGAATATAAAGTAGATGGTAAAACACCCAGGCCTGTGTGCAAAGACCTCTTTCAGATCCACAGGAGAGCGAGTTGCTGCTGATTCCTCACAAATTGGAGGACTCAGCGAGCTTTTGGGCCCCATGTCTGTTAGGGTTACCGCATGTGGGCACCTGTCCTGCAGAAACTCCAGAGAGAGACTCAGCACACTCCTGTGAGTCCCAGAGCAGCCTTCACTTCCACAGTTGTTCACTATATCAGTGTTGCTGTGGGTTTCAGATTTACATTTCAGACCCATGAAAGGAAAACTACAGG